ACTGAGAACCAAGGAAGAGACCCTATGGGTGCAGGCACTTGGGCAGCCTACTGTGCCATTAGGAGTGGAGCACCAGAGCTGGCACTCATGAGACTTCCTGTTGCTCAAGTCTTGGCAATAATGATGCAGGAACAGGGGAATATCCGCTGATATGCTAGCAGTCAGCCTTCTACAAGCCTGTGCAGCAGTGTAGGATAAATCCACACAGGTCATGTGTGTTCTGAATGAATGTGGAAATAAGCAGCAGGAAATAAGTCTTCATTTCAAACATTCATTCATTTTTAAAGTACAGTATTAAAATCCTACATCCATCCTTTTTATTTGTCCTTGTCCTTATTCTATATAGACAGAAAAAGAAAACACAGTATTGCTCTTCCTTTTGAATATTATGGTTTTACAGTCAATATAAAGAACTACTATAAATCTTAGGTAGACAGCAGGTGAGGCAAATATCAGCAGATGATGTCTCTGTGTGTTCATTCTTATTTTCCTCTAGTCATTCAAGCCAAGGAACTCTATATAGTAAGAAATATTAAAAACCTTGAAAGGAATGAAATTGATCTCGTTCTGTCTTTTTACCTAAATGTGTATGTTTGTGTCTCTCAAGCCAGTGTAATTCTCTACCACCATCCACTGCTTTTTGGAATTAAAATCCAGCATGATGATAATCATTCTAGAGATATTCTACTAACCTTCGGATGACTCACAAACTTCAAAAAAGAAGAACGTACAGAGAGGCTCATTGCTGAATTCAGTGCAGATACAGTAAAATGAGTTTTATGGCTTTGTATGGAGTGAAATAAGAAGTAGAGAAAGCTATATTCAAGAAAGGGCACCAAGATCTTCACACAAGGTTTTTTCAGGGTGCGGGTAGGGGTAGGGATAAACAAAAGATTCTCATTGTCTGATGCTTGCACTATTCCACTTCCAAATTCAACAATGTCCATTACTTACTCATAAGACGTACTGAGCCCATTCAATGGAAATTGATGAGTGAGTGTTAGGAGACCTCAATTTGCTGTCACTTCTAGGACAAAAACAAAGGAGGGACAAAGGAAAGATGCTCATATTCAGCACTTTAAACAAGGGCTTCCTCTCCATATTCCAGCTTATATTAATACACACTATATTAAAGTATTTATTATAGATTTATCTCACTCATCCTTCATCCTGCCCATGACAACATACTTAGTTCTCCCAATTTATTCTCCTAATAACCTTCTCAGCAGATCACATGAAACAAGAGTCATCACCTAGTAAAGTCTGAGGCTAAGCAGTACTTTCCTGTCTCACTTTAGTGGACTAATAATTATTATCACAAAACTATTCACCACACATTACATCTACTTCTATTAATGAAGCTTTAAATCATAGATACGTGAATGAAGCTAAAGCATACAAAACCTAACCCAATTTATAGTACATTACCACAGTAGAATGGGCAATGTAACTGTACCATTAGTAGCCTGGAAATATTTATGGAATGGTGGCCTGCACATCTTTAAAATGTGATTAATTATGTACATTGATTTAAGTGGCTAATGAGAATCTGATTCTTTTGGTCTTCTTAGCATCTTGTGGGAAGTGGTTGGACCTAAGGCACATGCACGTGTGTTCTCACTATTCACTAACTGAGCCTGTGTATAAGTAGCATACACAGTATCACCACACTACTCTGAATACACTCAGTCTCATCTGATTTTGAAAGTTAAGCAGAGTCAGGCCAGGTCAGTATTCAGATGGGAGACCATCCTATAACACCGGGGATCTCCAGGAAGGACTAGAAAAGAACCATGGTAAAACCCTGGATAGTAATTGCTGCCATTCAGGGATACGTATAATGGAACAGACAGACCAATAGTCTGGCTTGATATTAAGCTGATTTCTGTACTCCCAATTCCTCTGCAACTTTTCTCCTCCAGCTTGTACTTTGAGGTTGCTTTGAGAGTCTTTTGTTTTAAGTGCCCGCCAGTTAGGTGAATTATAGGGACAGGGCTCTCAACAGTGGCATTTGGACAGCATAAACTGTCCAAAGGGCAGCCCATCTGTTTCTATCATGGTAGGACTTTGGAGATCCATTTGTTCAAAACTGCTTTTGCTTAAGTCTGCCATACAGATGTTTGAACTCTTTTCATGCCATTTGAATGTTACTATGCTGAGCTTAAAGGTATTACAGCTAGTGCTGGTTTACTGAGTTGCTGATCAGTGTAACTAATTAAACAGCTTAGTCCCCCTGAAATGTTCTAGCATCAGCAGAAGGCTCATGAGCAACTGTGTGTGTGTGTGTGTGTGTGCGGTTTACTGAGTTGCTTATCAGTGTAACTAATTAAATAGCTTAGTCCCCCTGAAATGTCCTAGCATCAACAGAAGGCTCATGAGCAACTCTGTGTGTGTGTGTGTGTGTTTCAGATATCTGTAGTTATTGTAACACTGCAACACCTATACACTTCCCATGATTGTTAACTATATTACAGATAACACCAGGTGACACCACTGAATTCCATCCTAGAAATGTACAGTGACATAATCACTTGCATTGATGGCAAAATGTGTCTGGTTCTAAGAATTTATTTAAAGTGAGTTGCAAGTTCAGGATGTTATTCCTTAGGCAGTCAAGATTCTTTTACATCTGTTCATCCTGTGAACGCTTTCAATTTCACTGACACTGAAAAATTATCTCTCTCTTCCTTGCCTCTCTGTTTAAACTAAGCACCCAACTCCTTATAAAATATTTCTTTTAACTTTAGTATTTTGTATGTTAATTACAGAAAGCTAGACTAGATTCAGATGGAGTGAAACTTCGTAGAAGAAACAATAATTTTAAATATGCAGATGACACCATCTTAAGGGATTGATTCCCTTAAGGAAGCCACAGGCTTTGGGTTTGCAGAAGCTAATCAGGGCGGAAGAGTGTAGGACATTTTGAAGATCTCTCATCACAGGGCTGCCTCAAGTCAGAGATGACTTGACAACACATAACAACTTAATTACAATAAAAGAATAAAGAATATTTCATCTAACAGCTCTCCTGCCTCTAAATGGCAGTAAGCAGAAATGTTGGAACAGGCAAAACACATACATTCCACGGTCTGTTTAGTGCTCTCAACAATCTGCCAAAGATAATCAATTGACAGGGAGAGTCTGGAAACCTGGGAGTAAAATAAAACTATCTGAACCATGTCCTTTCCTCCAAATGAAGAGACTCTAACATGCCAAGTAGCAGGGGGAGGGGAGGAGAAGGAATGATGAGCACAGCTGAAAAAGTTATTTGAAGCTGTTGTCCAGCAGTTTGCTGAGTGGAAGAATATATCAACATCAGAGGAAAAGAACCAAGTAATAGCAAAAGAAGGTTGGAAATGGGGGTGGGGGTTGTTCTGTTTTGACACTTTTGTGATAGGAGTAACCGATTGGCAATATATAGGTTTGTGAAATAACACAGAATCCAGCACTTGTTAAAACTCTCCTACCATACGTGGCTTATAATTTTCAGTCTCAGCTCTCTGGAATATGATGAATTGACATTCTGCCTTGATTGATCAGTCCAGAATACTTTTAGTTTGCTAGCTTTACAGATAATGATCAGCCAGGTGCCTGTGGAAGGTCACAAACAAGTCACAGCAGTGACAGCTACTCTGTGTTATCTCTCACTATATTTTTGTTTGTACACTGAGACCACATTTAGTTTATTTAATCCTTTTCTCCATTTATTTATCTAATTTTCTTTCAAAGCAAGCAAGCAAGCAAACAAACAAACACTGAGCAAGTGGTCTTCATCATATCTTGTGGAAAGAGAATTCCACTAGTCAGTTGTGAGGGGGACCTACAAAAAATGTTGCAGTGTGGAGGCGTCATTCAGAGATCATTGTAAATATATACCAACCCTGGTAAAATAACACATGTGCATGTTAATGAGAGACATCAATTATTGTACAAAAGAACTTGATCTGGACATTTAGGGAAAGTAAATGTACAAATGGCATTAAATATGTGCCAAAACAGAATAAAGAGCAAATATTCTGAATATCATGAATTGCAGATTCATAGTGCAAGTGGCTTACTTACCTCACAGATGTGGTCATGCAATTTCAATGAGGAAGCAAAACATATGCACTGAAAAAGAGGAAAGAGGGTGCTCAGATGATCAAACATGTGCTTCCTACCCTGAAATACTGTCAGAACCACACGTTGCACTTGGCAGATGGGTGTAAACCTGAAAGTTTACAAACAACTGTTCAATATTGTGTAATTACAGAGAGCACAGATCATCTAGTTCTCTAAAATTAAGCAAATTCAGCCTTTAGCAATTATATCTTATATAATATTTTAAAAGTGAATGGTACACATTACCAAAACGTTTTTAAAAATTGACATTGTTTTTTGAAATGTGTTCAAGGAGTCTTAAGAGCTTTTCCCCTTGAACCTGCACTTCCTTCTGAAACAAAAATGATGTTTCAAAAGTGTGAAGAGAAACACAGCCCAGTCACTTCAAAGCATAACCTGTAGGGCAATGATTCCCAACCTGGAGTATGTGGAAAAAACTGAATAATGGCAGAAAAGGCACATACATTAACAGTGCAAGACAAGAAGTTGTGAAATGAATTAAATATTATGATGAATGCTGGAGTGGGTTTTCTTTGTTATTTAACCTCAAGAAAAGCTTTGTCCTCTCACTTTGATATTTTGGCGAATAGTGGGAAGTCCCTCCCTAAAAAAATTGTTATGAACATGCTACTACAGCATGCATGCTAGGCAGTACACCTCTCACAGGCTCAGCTTTCATTCTCGTCCTCTTCATGAACATTTGAGTGCTGTTGTGTTGGTACCAGTATATATATAAGTGGGCACCTGAGCCAGTTCTATGGGCAGTGTTCAATGAGTGAGTTCTTCCAGGTCTTCTGTGATGTATTTATCAGGGATATTGGCAAGTCTCTGGGTATGAGTCCCAAGGTTCCCCTTGACAAACTATCCAGTTGTGTCCGACTCTAGGGCCCGGTGCTCATCCCCATTTCCAAGCTGTAGAGCCAGCGTTTGTCTGTAGACAGTTTCCGTAGTCATGTGGCCAGCACGACTAGAAATGGAACACCGTTACCTTCCCGCCATGGTGGTACCTATTTATCTACTCACATTTTTACATGCTTTCGAACTGCTAGGTTGGGAGGAGCTGGGACAAGCTACGGGAGCTCACTCAGTTGCGTGGATTCAAACTGCTGATCTTTTGACCTTGCAGCCCAGAGGGTTTGTGGTTTAACTCACAGTGCCACCACATCCCTTTGGTACTAAGTCCCAAATCCAAATTAATTACAGTGGTGCCTCGCTTAACGAGCGCCCCGTACAGTGATGAATTTGCATAGCGATCCCTTTTCCAGGATCGCTAATGCGAAGGCATCGCATCGGCCCCAATGGGCGAAATTCGCATAGCGAAGATCGGTAAACGTTTCGCTTACCGACCTTCGCTTTAAGGGGAGGACGCGAAAACGCTGCCGGAACAGCCGAAATGGCTGCGCGCAGTGTTTTCGCGCCCTACCCTCGCTTACCAAGGGCGCGAAAACGCTGTGCCCGGCCCTTTCGGCTGTTCCGGCGGCCATTTTGAAGCCACTGAACAGCTGATCCGCGGTCTCACTGTGGCCAAAATGGCCGCGCGCAGCGTTTCTGCGCCCTCCCCTCACTTACTGAGGGTGCGAAAATGGCTGCCGGACCCGGAAAACATCGCTGTACGGTGAGTTTTCTGCCAATTTGGAACGCATTAAACGATGTTTAATGCATTCCAATGGCTTTTTTTGATCCGTACAGCGATGTTTTCGCATAGCGAAAGTTAATCCAGAACGGATTAACCTCGCTATGCGAGGCACCACTGTAATTACAAACATTTGCTAATATGAAGGGTACAGTTTAAAGAAATGGGCTGCCAAAGCGCATGCAAGTGAAAAAGGATTGGGAACCACTCTTCTGGGGGATAAATATCACTACACTGGACAAACACACAGTTTGCAAAGCATGGGTTGGATCCAGTATTTTCTCCCACTGATGGGACCATACCCTGAACAGAGTTCTGATCTGGATGCTCTGTCCATGGGGAAGATGATGCAAAGGAAACTCAGAATTCAGCCACCTATTTGCTGCTCATTAACAGTGTGGTGCCAAGGGATTATATTCAAGGGAGAATCAGTGGATGGGAGGCAGTCCGTTTATCTTTCAGCTCATCTACTGATTCTCCCCATAACGCTTTCCATTCATACACATATTCCTTTGCTCCTGCAAAGAATTTCTATCCTCACAATTCAGAGGCAAATAAATGTGTTGGAAATCCATGCTGGCTGCACAAAATGTATTTGTGCCCTTGGACTGCATACCACATTTTTTCTGTCTTGATTCTTCCAGCAAACTGCATTGCATACCAGGTCGTGCTCAGCTGAACTGCTCACATTTCAAAATGACATTTTTTTCATATGGACTGTGATCCTTTACACAACAGTTCTTGCAGGAATTCCATTAATTTCCACTGACACTCAGCAGAAATAACAATACAGTGAATTCCAGTCCAAACATTTTAATAAAAGAAGCAATATTTCCACAGAATGTGTTCAAAAACATCCTGAGGCTACAAGGATTGATGTTATTTTGTTTAAAGATAAACTTTCATATTTAGCATCTTGTTGGAAAAATATACCTACTGTCCTAGTAACTCACATTTCTGTATCTGCTTAAGCAACAAAAGTGTCATCTGAATCAGTGAGACATTCTTACTTTGCCCATTAATGTTTATAAAAAGGGAAATTGCGTTGTAATCTGAGATAATCAGATCTGTGTTTGGTGATCCTCCTAGAGACTAGCTGAACATATGCATCTGGAGCATGGGCCCAACTGCTCTCATGTTACACAGGTCTTCTGACCACACTCCACTCCACATCTTAAGAATACATGGCAGGAAAAGCAATTATGTCTTGATGAAGGAATTTCCATACTATCTTAAAATGCCTCTGGCTTTAATGCAAAACACACATGCTGAATTATACGTGACATGGATTCTAGATGCTGTACGTATTCCACTTAAAGACTTTCTCTCTTTGGTAGTCCTCACACCTCCACACAAAAACAGAATTTCAAATTGCTTTCAGATTTCCATACATTCTGTCTTCTGAACTCAGATATTTTGACTCAGTGCCTCACAGGCTGCCACCAGTCGATTGGGTAATATGTTACATAAAAGCTTCTGTACGGTATCCTTAAATAATGGGAAACAGCTGATAGCCAGATCACCCCACTAAGAAGAAAACATCCCTTTTTCCTAGAGAAAATATATACCACCTTCTCATTAGCTAGTGTAAAGTTTCTTTTAAGCCAAAGAATTTTGATTGCACTTCCAACTACTCAGGGAGTGACCGTATAACTTTAGGGCTAAGAATTTATTGGATTTAGAAGTTAACCAGTGGACAAATACTAAGGTAAAATTTAAGAAGTACTAAACAGAGTAAAAGATCAAAAAATTCTAATATACAGAGAAGTAGAGTATATCAGTACCATAATCATAAATGAAATGTACAGATTCCTGTCAAACCAATTGTTAAAAGTGAAATAAACAGGAAAGGGCAGGAAAGAAGAATATATTGGTTGAAGAACATAAAGAACCAGTTTGAATATAACACAACATATTGTTGTATGGCTAAAATGATGCTGAACTTCTTGCAGAGCGGAAATAATAAGAAAAAGATTCAGAGCAGTAATCTGTTAACTAATGGAGGCTCCTCCAAAACTAAATTGCACAGGTACAAATGTTCATAAGAACAGGGCTTCTCCATGTGTAACGAGGTGCTGGATATCTTCTTGTGTAAACTCCATAAATGTCATTAGGCTCCATTAATGTCCTTCTGCATTGCACAAGCAAAACAATTAAACAGGATTCCACCCATAGCTGTGGCACAGAGCATATGCTGTACTGGTAGAATGTCTCAAGTGCAATTCAGGCAATGGGAGTGAAAAGGGTTAGGTAGCAGGTAATCGGGAAGACTACTCTACCCAGCCACTGCCCTTCAAAGCAGATAATATTTGGCAAGACCAGTGGTTCCCAAGAATCCCTGGCCAGCACAGATAGTACTGAAAGCTTTTAGGAGCTGCAGTCTAAGAGCACCTGGGTTATCCGAGTTTGGGAACCACTGGGCTAGACTAATGAAAAGTTAGTCTAGCTTCCTCTCTAATGTTGGCTCATTTCATGCATCACCTAGCAACAAATTTGGCTTAGATTGTACAGACAACTAATCTTGTCTCTCTGCCTATATTCTCAGAAGACAAGGCCACTGACAGTCACTAATGATGAGTAATGATTTCCATGAATAATGATTTTATTCAATAATGATGAGTAACAAAGCTACTCAGAAGTGTTTTACCATTGCCTTCTTATGGGGACACACTGGGACTCCGTAGCCGGCCTAAGACCATACAGGTTGGCTCTTCTCCTATAAGGCACAATTAAACTCCTGACCCCAGTGAGCAATGATATATTTCCTCCAAAGATCAGAGGAAAACTTTCTCTGTGTATCATTTCCTGTACAGAGCATAAATCATGGAAGATGGTCCTATTCTATTCATTCCCTGTTTTCAGAGGCAAGTGGTGAGCCACTGGGAATAGGATACTGGACAAAACAGTCCTCACGAAACTGTTGTTGTATTCTTGAAATAAATGTGTTTTAAAACATATTTACCATGTAGCTAACTAGATATTGTATGTACATAAAAAGCACTTCAACATTTAATAGGTAAATAAGCGTTAAATATCTATAGGCTGAAAATAATCCCAAAGTAACTTTCCACAAACTTTGGATGGGTTTGTTTCTCTTTTGGCCACCGGCACACACAAAAATCTTATTTTGCTGTTCACCAACCTTTGAATGCAGCTCCTAATCAGATAATATTTCTAGCTGGTTCTGGCAGCCTGTTTTCAAGCATGATAGGCAAGGACTGCTGTTGTCATGCAGCATGTCTCAACACACTGTGTTTTTGCTACTAGGAACAGTTGTCCCCTGTGGATTAAGACACAAGGTACATTGAGCCCTATGAGATCAGACGTTGTTAGCAAATCCACAGATGGCATGAGCAAGGTTCTCCGGAATGAAACC